TACCCCCACCCCCCCCCCCCCCTTTGAGAGATTTATCCCCCGGGGCTCCCGACGCCGCGTTCAGCGCGACGTCGCTGCCCCACGCCAACGGCCTCGCCAAGCCGCCGCGGCGCTCCACCGCCGCGGGCCGAGCAAAACTCGCGCCCGCCGCCGATCGAGGTAACACTACGATTCGTTGCTCGACAAGCGGCAGCGCTTGCGTCGGTTGAACATGAGAAGCTCCCCCCGTGCATCGCGAGGCCACGCGTGAGTTCGGCGAGGCGCGTCCGCCGCGCGCCATCCCCGGCGCGGCGGGCCAGCCCATATCCGGCCCGGCCGTGCGTGCCCCGGCGCCGCGCGCGGGCGCCTCTACGACGACCGCGCCTACGCGGGCAGCGGAGCGCGATCCTCGAGGCGCCGGGCGCCCCGCGAGCCGCGCGCGCGACGACCGCGACGACCGGCCCGGTGCCTAGTGGGGCGCCTTATCGAAGGCGCCCGGCGCCTCGCGCGCGGCCTCCTCGGGGCAGTACTTGCGCCGCACCTTCGCGAGGAGCGTCGCCTCGCGGCCCGCGAAGGCCGCGATGACGCGCTCGGCCTCCTCCGGCGACTTGGCCGACTTCTCGGCGTAGATCTTGCGGAGCTTCGCGACGATGAAGGGGTTCGCGCCGGGCCCCGGGTCCTTCTCGGCCTTCTTCTGCCGCCGCGCGCGCTCCGCGGACGCGTAGGGCGCCGACGACGTCGAGAAGCCGCGCTCGCGCGCCGCGAGGCGCCGCGCCGCGCGGTCCTCCGTCGCCGGCGCCGCCGCGGGCGCGGGCCCGCCGTCCCCGGGCGCCGCGCGGCTCCGCGCGCGGGGCTCGGGCCGCGGCGCCGCGGCGCCGCCGTCGAGGAGGCCGCCGCCGCGCGGCGGCGGCGCGTCGCGCGGCGGGTCCGGGCGTTTCTGCTGCCGCTTCCGCGCGAAGTTGCGGCCGCTGCCGACGGCCGGCGACGGGCACGCGGGCGGCGGCGGCGGCGCCTCCGCGGGCGGCGGCGCCTCCGCGGGCGGCGGCGACGGCGACCGCGGCGGCGCCTCCGCGGGCGGCGGCGACGCGACCGCGGCGGCGGCGACCGGAACGTCGGCGGCGGCCCCGACGCGGGCGACCCGAGCGTCGGCGGCGGCGCGGGCGACGCGGGCGACTCCGGCGGCGGCGTCGTCGGCGGGCTCGCGGCCTCGGGCGGCGGCGGCGGCGAGGGCGGCGGGCTCGCGGCCTCGCGGCGCGGCGCGTCGGGCGAGAAGTGGGCCGCGTCGGAGAGCGAAGACGGGCTCCAGGCGAACGCGGCCGAGTAGGCCGGCGTCGGCGCGTCCGCCGGCGGCGCGCCGCCCGGCGCCGGGGCGCCGATGACGAAGGCGCTCGGCTTCACCGGCGGGTCGTCGCGCGGCGGCGGCGGCGGGTCGTCGTCGTCGTCGTCGCTCGGCGGCGGGGGCGGCTCGCCGTCGTCGGGCGCGAGCATGGCGCCGCCGTGCCGCGCGAGGGAGCCCGACGACGAGAGCCGCTGCAGCGACCCCGACGACGACGAGCGACGCAGGCGGTCGAGCTTGGACACGTTCATGATCGTGAGCGCCCCGGGGCAGCCTTCAGGCCATACCCAACCGACCGAACCGTCGCGCGGCACGGCCGCGGCTAGGCTAGGAGAGGTTAACAGCTAGAGGGCCTACCCGGGGGGTTTGCGGCACCAGGCCTTGCGGCACTGGGACTCCAAGCCTAGCCGCGACCGCCACGGGCGGCCGGGCTGGCATCTAGCTCCGAGGGGCCAGGCGCGCGGGGGCTCACTCGCAGTCCGTGGACTCGCTTCGCGGCCCGCGCGGACATGCCATACTCAGGGCGGGTCCGGTTTTCCATCCAGCATTGGCGCCGGACACGGCCAGAACGCACGAGGTTTCTAGACACCGCGCCGACGCCGCCGTCAGGGTCAGAGAACCACGTTCCCCCCGGCGCCCGCCTTTCACTTGAGCGGCCTTCTCGGTTCGCCGCCACCCAGAGGGGATCACCGCTTCAGGGGTCCGTACGCAGCCGGGACCTCGGTCCGCGACCTGGGACCGCCGTCTGGCGGCATCGTGCTCTTGGGCAGGAGCTCGTCGACGATGCGGAACCGGATTGACACCGCCCCTTTGTCGACTACAGCCTTGTCCTTTGACACGAGGCTGGGAAGACGAGGCCACCGCACCCCCCGGGAAGACCTTGCTCCAGCTCTGGAGGGCCGCTTCCGGAGGACTAGGGGAAAAAGCATGTGATGATGAGAATCATGCTGAAAAACCCTGGTGTTGTCCGAGTGTCGCACCGGCCCGTAGAAAAAAAAGAAAAGAAAAAATCCGCGGGCCAAAGGCCGCCCGGAGGTCTTCGAGAGCCAACAGCGCCGGCCAGTCAGAGTGCCACGTCGTCCCGAGCGCCGCATCGGTCCGCGGGAAGAGAGCAAAGCCGCACCGGCGCCAGCCAACCAGGGTGCCACGCCTGAGCAGGTGCGAGCATTCGTTAAAATTCCCAAAAAAAAGTCCGCGGCGTCCGGGCCGCCCCGCGCCCCCACGCGCGAACCCGACCGCCGCAGACGCCGGAAAGGGTGTCGGAGCATCCGCGCGCCGCCGCAGTGACGCCGAAGTCCTCGCCCCGGCACCCGCCACCGTGTGGCAGCCCGGCCCGCGCCGCCGCCGCCGACGGGCCGACGAGGGCTGCCCCGCGCGCGCCGCAGGCCGCGGACACCGCGCCGGGGCCGCGACAACCGCGACCGGGGCCCGGGGCCCGCCGCCCGGGGCGCGCGCAGGGCGGGCGCCGAGCCATAGCATCGGAAAAGTAAGCTGGTGCGGCAAGCTCGGCCAAGTCGCGAGAATCTCATCGGGTCGCGCGACTCGTCGGGTCGGGGCGACGCCTCATCGACGCGCCGTCGCGGCCCATGTCCGAGCTCATCGGCGCCCGCGTGGCCCTGACCCAGGGCGCCCACAGCGGCGCCTCGGGGATCATCATCGCGCGCATCAACGACGAGGAGTTCCGCGTGCGCCTCGACTCGGACGTCGAGATCTCGACGAAGCTGCGCGTCGCCCGGCCGGAGCCGGGGCCGGAGCCGGGGCCGGAGCCGGGGCCGCCCCGGCCGCCGCCGCCGCCGCCCGCGGCGCCGCCGCCGGCGACGACCGTCGAGGACGCGATCGGCCTGCTCGCGGGGCTCACGGACGCGTCGCCGCCGCGCCGGCGGCCCGGCCCCGTCATCTACCTCAACGACCCGGGCGCCGAGGCGCGCGAGCGGAACCGGCGGCGCAAGTGGAGCGCCTTCGAGGACCGGCGCCTCCGGCGCGCCGTGGAGCTCCGCGGCGCGGACTGGCAGGCCGTCGCTCGCGAGTTCCACGAAACGGGCCGCAACGCGAAGCAGTGCCGCGAGCGGTGGATGCAGCAGTGCGACCCGGCGCTGAGCCGCGCGCCGTGGACGCGCGCCGAGGACGCGGCGCTCCTCCGCGCGTACGTCGACCACGGCGGCAGGTGGGCGCGCATCGCGCAGGGGCTCCCGGGCCGCACGGACCAGCACGTGAAGCGGCGCTGCAACTCGCTCCGCAACCCGTCGTCGGCCTACGGCCGCGCGCTCTGGGCCGCCGCGGCGCGCGGCGACGCCGCGCCCGCCGCGGCGCGCGCACCGGACGACGCGGACGCGCCGCCGCCGGTCCGCGTCGACGGCGCGGTGCTCGCGCGCATGGCGGCGACGCTGTCCTGCGGCCGCTGCGGCGCGCTCTTCGACGACGCCGCGGCCCTGCCCTGCGGCCACATCTTCTGCCTGGGCTGCGTCGACGCGGCCTTCGAGCGGTCCCACGAGTGCCCGACGTGCGGCGCCGCGTGCCGCAAGAAGGACGTCGTCCCGTCGACGGTGACCAACGCCCTCGTCCGCATCTTCAAGAGCCGCAACGTCGGGGACGCGGGCGGCAGCTTCGCCGTGTAATAAGAGCTGGCCTCCTCTTTGTCGAAGACTTCATGAAGTGTGAGTGAAGTGCTGCGGCAATTCACCACCGGCTACGGCTGCGAATGAGCCGTCGTTGAACAAGCACATCTATGAAGCAATGATGCAGTAATCCGTAGCTAAGAGACGGTCTCTCGTGCGAGCATTTCAGCGGCCGATGATGGAATCTCCACCTTAGAGGACCCCGCGCTCCTCGAATATGCAGCGACGTGCAACGATCCCAGTGGATTTGAGGTCCGCAAACATGTGGGTGAGGCACATGAAAAGACGCGACATCCGGACGATTGCGAGGCGACGCAAACGGGCAGCCCCAGGGGGTGGAATGGGGCGGGGCAGCTTCCCCCGACCCGACTTTCGTTCCCCTTCGAGTCACAGAGCGTCGGGAATCGTTCGTTATGAGGGCGATCAGATGCCCTCGCGGCAGCTCTTCGGCTCGAGCGGATTTGATCGAGATCACCTCACCGGCTCCGGGAGGCGCGCGGCGCCGTGGGCGACACGGTGCTCACCGCGCAATGCATGAGGCCGTATGTGCGAACAAACCCGGACAGCCCCCTCGGGAGCGACATTCCAGGGGGTGTTTCTTCGAAGTTGTTCGCACCAAACGCCCCCTGGAACTAAGTTGGGCCCCTCGTCGGTCGCCCCTCACCGTTAATGGCCGTTCTCGTCATCCACGGGCTGTCCCGACGCGAACTAAGTTGCTCGCCTTCGACCGATGGTCTTTCCCGAGCGACTCGCAGCCGGGCCCAAGGCGCGACATGGTCCACAGACCGAGCGCCGCGCCAAGTCCTGGAACCGCTGCATCGCGCGTCCGAGCCCGGAGCGAGGCGATGCCGTGACGTAAAAACTTCACGGCTTCGCTGCTCTTTGAACCGGTTAACTTTAGCTTAGCCGGCAGAGTCTTCCGCGGACCTCGTCATCATCGTCGTCGTCATCATCGTCGTCGCAGAGCGCCAGCGCCAGCGCCGCCACCATTGCGAAGCTGCTCTCCAGAGTCGCGCGGACCATGGGCGTCTTCGCGAGCAAGGAGCCGCCCTGCGCGCACGTCGGCGGGTTCCACGACCTCATGAGCGAGGACATCGACGGCGCGGAGGTGCGCTTCTCGGCCTTCCGCGGCCAGGTCGTCTGCGTCACGAATTTGGCGTCGAGATGAGGCAAGACGAACAGCCACTACAAGGGCCTCGCGAAGCTCGGCGCGCAGTTCTCGGGCCGCGGCCTCGCGATCGTCGGCTTCCCGTGCAACCAGTTCATGGGCCAGGAGCCGGGCGCCGAATCGGAGATCAAGGCCTTTGCGCGGTCCAGGGGTTTCCTGGACCCGGCGCTCGGCGACGCGTCGGCCGTCGGCGCCTTCAATCTCATGCGTAAGTGCGACGTCTCCGGCGCGGCCGTCGACCCCGTCTTCTCGTACCTGAAGCGGGAGGCGCCGTGCAAGATTTCGTGGAACTTCGGCGCCTACTTTTTGGTGTCGCGCGACGGCGCCGTCGAGGCGCACGAGAACGCGCACCCGCGGGACCTCGCGCCGCGCGTCGAGGCGCTCCTCGGCGCCGTCGACGCCGCGGACGTCGACGTCGCCGCGGACTAGCGGGCGATGGGCGCGCCCCATGACGCCGGCGGCGCCGACACTCGGGCGCCGCCGGCCGACCCGCGCGCCGCCCGTAACGACGCGGCCTTCGTTACCGCGGGGTCGGGGGCGGCCGCGCCTCGGGCACGGGGGCCTCGTAGCGGCCGCGGCGCGTCGTGAAGGCGAGGTCGCCGCGCGCGAAAAGCCAGCCCTCGAGGCCCGCCGGCGGCGGCTCGGGCGTCGCCGCGCCCGTGATCGCGTCGTCGACGAGGGCCTGGAGGTCGAGGAGCGCCGCGCCGGGGAGGTCCGCGGACCCGCGGCCGCAGGCGACGACGAACGCGCGGCCGGCGAGGAGCGCGTTGAGCTTGACGAGGCTCGCGAGGTACTGGACGAGGTCGCCGCCGTCGCGCGCGAGGTCGACGGGCGCGCGCGGGCAGACGAGGTCGCCGGCGAAGAGCATCGCGTCGCGCGCGTACCAGAGGCAGAGCGCGTCCGGCGCGTGGCCCGGCGTCTGCACGACGCGGACGGCGTCGCCGCCGCCGAGGTCCAGCGAGGCGCCGTCGTCGAGCCACGCGCCGACGTCGTAGGGCTCGAGGTCGCGGCGGCCGCGGCGCCGCGCCTCGCGGCGCGCGGCGTCGCGCGCGGCCGCCGTGAACGCGCGGTCGCGGCCGCTCGCGGCGATCGTCGTCGCGGCGCCGAGGCTCCCGTTGCCGCCGACGTGGCGGAGTCCGCCGTCGAGGTTCACGCACGTCCGCGGCCGCGCCGCCGCGTCGAGGCCCGCGGCGCCCATGAGGAAGCCGTCGAGCCAGTCGCCGTAGGGCTCGCCGCCGGCGCCGCTGTCCACGAGGAGCACGCGGCTCGCGCCGACGACGACGTAGAGGAAGACGGGCGCGTCGTCGTCGCGCTCGACGACGAGCCAGACGCGGTCCGTGAGCCGCTCGACGCGCCCGAAGGCGACGGCGCTCGGGTCGCGGCTGAAGGCGGCGCCGGGCACGCCCGCGGCGACCATGGTACGAGCTCGTGTCTTACATGTAAGCGGGGCAGCCCATTGCGTTTTGCGAGGCGGGTTGCAACTTGACGATTGATCGCGATTTGAGGTTGCAGCGCCAATGCTGGATGGAAAACCGGACCCGCCCTGAGTATGGCATGTCCGCGCGGGCCGCGAAGCGAGTCCACGGACTGCGAGTGAGCCCCCGCGCGCCTGGCCCCTCGGAGCTAGATGCCAGCCCGGCCGCCCGTGGCGGTCGCGGCTAGGCTTGGAGTCCCAGTGCCGCAAGGCCTGGTGCCGCAAACCCCCCGGGTAGGCCCTCTAGCTGTTAACCTCTCCTAGCCTAGCAGCACTCGCAATGCACATGGATCTGCGCACGGCCGTGCTCGTCGTCGCGGGCTACGGCTGCTGGCTACAGTGCCGCCTCGCGCTGCTGCGCCGCGCCGTGCGCCGCGGCGAGGACGTCGGCCCGCGATGGCTCGCGCGGTTCAGCGCGGCGGCGAGCGCGTTCATCGCGCGCCACGTCTCCGGCGTGGCCGTCGCGTCCTTCGGCGGCGCGGGCATGGCCTGGCGGGGCGGCCAGGTCGTCTACGTCTGGCACCCGCACGGCTTCATCTCCTTCACGGCGTCGATGATCATGGGCGGCTGGGCCGTGGCGGGAAAACCGCACGGCCGGCCGTGGTACGGCATGGCGCTGCCCGCGCTCTTCGCGCTGCCCTGGCTCGGCGAGCACTTCACGCTGGCCAACGGCCGGCCCGTGGACCGCGCGTCCCTCGAGCGCCTCCTCGGGAGCGGCGCGTCCGTCGCCATCAACCCGGGCGGCGTCCGCGAGCAGGCGGCCACGCGCCACGACCGCGAGCAGGCCTTCTTTTCGAAGAAGCTCGGCTTCGTGCGCCTGGCGATGCGCCACGGCGTGCCCCTCATGCCCCTCTACATCTTCGGCGAGAACCAGATGTACGAGCGCGTCGACGGCTGCGAGCGCGTCACGGCGGCGATCAGGCGGCTCACGGGCCTCACGTTCCCGGTCTGCACGGGCCGCTTCGGCCTGCCCTGGTGCTGGCCGCTGCCCCGCCGGACCGCGCTCCACGTGCGCTGGGGCGACGTAGTCGACGTGGGAGGGCCGAAAGCCGACCCGTCGGACGCCGAGGTCCGCGCCGTCTTCGACGCCTACGTCGCCGAGCTCCGGCGGACCTTCGACGCGCACGCGCCGACGTGCCTCCCGCGCGACGTCGCGGCGCGCGGTCTCAGGGTCGTCGAGCTGTGAGTTCGCAAGTATAAGCTGGATGGCGCCGTGGATGCGCGCGTGGGTCAACATGCGCACAAGTTTCACACCGTCGGCGACCTTGAACTTCAAGTTGAAGAAGCTGGGCAGCACTGCACATGATGTGCGCCCAGGTCGTGGCCCACGGCGGCGACGAGCGGGAGCCGCTGGAGGCCGAGGGCGCGGCGGCGGACCCGTCGGGCTACGAGGGCCTGACGCTCCGGGCCGTCGCCCTGGGCCTCGCCATCGGCACGGTCACGACCCTCGAGAACATCTACTTCGCGCTCAAGTACGGCTGGACCGTGACGAACAACATCTCCGCGGCGATCCTGGGCTACGCGGCGCTGTCGCTCTGGTCGCGGGCGTCCGGCGCGCCGCCGCCGACGGCCCCGGAGACCTGCGTGCTCATGGCGGCCGCCGTCGCGGCCACGGCGATGATCTGGGGCAGCTCGCTGCCCTTCGCGGTCCTGGCGATGCAGGCGGAGCTGCGCGACGCCGTGGGCTTCGAGGGCGACGTCGACACCTGGGCGCCGACGGTGCCGCGCCTCCTGGCCTACTGCGGCGCGCTCTGCTTCATCGGCTTCGCCTTGGCGATCCCGCTGCGGCGGAGGTACGTCGAGGACGAGCCGCTGCCGTTCCCCTACGCCGTCGCCGCGGCGAGGACCATCGAGTCGCTCCACGGCGGCGGCGACGACGGCGCGCCGCGGTTCCTGCTCGCATGCGCGCTGCCCGCGGCGGCCTGGGCCACGGGCGCGTGGTGCTGGAGCGGCGTCGAGCGCCTGGCCGTCTTCGGCCTGCGGGCCCAGGCGCGGCACAAGTGGTCCCTCCACCTGAGCGTGGCGCCCTTCGGCCACGGCTTCATCGTCGACGCGCGCTTCATCCTCTCCGAGGCGCTCGGCGCGATCCTCGCGTCCGGGGTGCTCATCCCGGTCGCCGCGGCGCGCGAGGGCGACTGGTACGCACCGGGCGCGGCGGGCTTCGAGGGCCTCGAGGCCTACTACTACGTCCCCGCCATCTTCGCCATCGCCCTCGACGCCGTCTACCAGGTGCTGCGGCTCGCGGCGCGGCTCCGGCCGCGGCGGAAGCCCCGCGGCGACGACGGCGGCGGCGGCGACCTCGGCGCGGCGCTCCTCGGCGGCGCCGCGGCCCCCGCGGCCTGGCGGCCGCCGACGCGGGCCTGGGTCGCGGCCTGGGCCGCGGCGTCGCTCGTCGCGCTCTTGGCGCTCCCGCCGCTCTTCGGGTGCTCGTACGCGATGACCGCCGTCGCGCTCCTCGCGGCGCCGCTCTGGTCCCTGGGCATCACCGTCGCCGTGGGCACGACGGGGTCGAACGTCGCGAGCTCCTGCGGCAAGGTCATGATCATCCTCTTCGCCGCCTGGTACGGCGAGCCGAGAGTCGTGCCGGTGCTCGCGCTCGGCGCGCTGTCGACGGCCGTCATCGACCAGGCGCTCGACCTCGTGCGCGACTTCAAGACGGCGCACTTGGTGGGCGCGCCGCCGAAGGCCGTCTTCGCCGCCCAGTGCGTCGGCGCGGCCGCGTCCGTCGTCTCCGCGGCGGTCCTGTACGCGTGGTACGTCGACCGCGTGCCGTTGCCGTCGGCCGACCTGCCCTGCGTCATCGCCAAGTCCTACCGGGGCCTCGCCTTCGCCTTCGCCGGCGGCCTCGGCGCGCTCCCGCGCCACTGCCTCGCCCTGTCCGCGGCGACGGGCGCGGCCGCCGTCGGCTTCGACGTCGCGCGGGACCTCGCGCCCGCCAGGGCAGGACAAGGGTGATTCAACGTCGCTTCAACTTGAGTGTTTCGCGCGCGCGCGTTTCGGAAACAGCACCCACGCTTCGAGAGCGCTCCGAGAGATGATCGCTCGTCCAAAAATCAGCCGAAACGAGTGGAAAATGGCCGAGCTAGGAGCCTTTGAAGTTGGGAATTTCGCACTCTTGTCCTGCCCAGGCGCCCGCGCGCGTCGAGCCGATGATCCCGTCGGGCATCGCCTTCGGCGTCGGCCTCATCCTCCTCTCGGGCCAGGTCTTCTGCTCGCTGCTGGGCCTCGGCGTCTTCGCGGCGTGGGGGCGCGTCGCGCCGGAGCACCGCGACCGGCGCGCGCAGCTCTTCGGCGCCGCGCTCCTCGCGGGCGACGGCGTCGCCGGCGTGCTCCAGAGCGTCCTCGAGGCGTCGGGCGTCCAGCCCCCCTGGGTCTTCGCCTACCCGGCCTGGTGGCCCGCCTAAGGGACCTTTTTTGGAGCCGCGGGACGCGAAGGAGCCCGTGTTTTACGCCGGCGGCGCGCGCTCGTCGTGGGGCCAGTCCCGCCGCTGCGCGCGCGCGAGCGCGGGCCGCGCGAGGAAGCGCGCGAAGAGCTCCTCGAAGGCGACGATGCCCGCGACGACGGCCATGGACGCGCCGTCGACGGACATGGTGAACGTGAACGCCTCCTTGAGGAAGCCCGGCAGCGAGTCGTGGACGAGGTGCGTGAAGAGGTTCGGCAGGTCCACCGCGGCGACGAAGACGGCGCAGACGAGCGCGTCCGCCGCCGCGAAGACGCCGAGCGCGTCGACGACGGCCACGGCGGCGTAGCGCAGGACGCGCCCCGGCACGAGGAACGCCCCGAAGACCGCGAGCACGCGGCAGAGCGGCAGCGTCACCGCGAAGAGCACGGCGCGCCGCCGCAGCCCCCCCGCGCGCCGCGGCGGCGCGACGCCCGACGCGGGCTCGTCGACGTCGCGCAGTAAGCCCGCGACGGACAGGGGCCGCTCGTAGGACCGCCGCAGCGACACGC